CTCAGCTGTTGTGGCTCGCGGGCTTAGAGCACAGGTTCAGTAGTTGTGGCTCACAGGCTTAGTTGCTTCGTCGCATGTGGGATCTTCCCAGACCAGGGCTCGAACCTGTGTCCCCTGCATTGGCAGGCGAATTCTTAACCACTGTGCCACCAGGGAAGTCTTACTATTTTTAATTATCTCTTTTTTTGGTGTCCCAGAGGTTTTTGGAGTCCAGGGCAGCCCTCCTGGTCAGATTCAGGTAGATGAGAGGCTGCCAGAGGGGCAGTTGTGAAGGGGCAGCTACAACTAGAGGATCAGCAGTTGTGTTCCTTGGCAGATACATTTCAGGGAGGGGTACAGATGGAAGTTGAAGCTCTGGAAATGAGTTGCTTCCAACCTATCTAAGCCTGCACACTCTTGGAAAGTCTTTGTGGACCAGGGTGCATGTCACAAAATAGAGGTCTCTTAAATCTTAACACACAAAAAGCCTCATAAATTTCCAGAATCCCCCTCCTGGGTAATACTGTTCCCCTGAAAAATCACCACCTTAACTGATCTGCTGTTTCCACTCTGCATCTCATCCTTCCCATTTTCACTTTACTTCAGTCACAAATGGGGTCCTTGGTGTTTTTTTCAAGGCCCATGTGTGCTCCTGCTTCAGAGCCTTAACACTGGCTCCTGCCGCTGCCCAGAGGTGCTTTCCCCAGATGTGGACAAGGCCAGCCCTCACTTAGTTCAGCCTCTGCTCAAATATCCACATATCTGCCCTTCATCCACCTTATATAAAACAGCATACCTCCACCCGCCTCATTCATTCATTCGTTCAACAAATATTTACTGAGCTGCTACTATGTACCAGGCACTGGAAATACATTCACTGAACAAAATGGACAAATATTTCTGTCCTCATATTGCTTAAAGCCTAGTGTGACAGAAATAAGAACATGAAATATAAAACATAAAATTGTATACTATGTTAGAAAGTGATTAATTGGTATTGGAAAAAAGCTCAAGCTAAGGGGAACTGAGATTGCCAGAAGTACTGTGTGAGTGAGTGTGTGTTATAGGGGTTTCAAATGTTCTTTTTGGTCCAAACATTTATTTAGGCAGGAAAAACTGGCAGAGTTCAGACTGCTGCTCCATGCTACTGGACTACTAAAGTAGCCACTTACTATATTTAATCTCTGTTCTTTCATCTGATCTTACTTTTGTTAGCTTTTTTTTTTTTAATTTTTATCTTATATTGGAGCATAGTTGATTAACAATGTTGTGTTAGTTTCGGGTCTACAGCAAATTGATTCAGTTATACATATACATGTATCTGTTCTTTTTCAAATTCCTTTCCCATTTAGGTTGTTACAGAATATTGAGCAGAGTTCCCTGTGCTCTACAGCAGGTCCTTGTTGGTTATCCATTTTAAATACAGCAGTGTGTACACGTCAATCCCAAGCTCCCAGTCTATCCCTCCCCTGCCACCCTTCCCCCCAATAGCCATAAATTTGTTTTTTTTTTTAAAGGATTATTTTTATTTATTTATTTATTTATTTATGGCTGTGTTAGGTCCCCATTTCTGTGCGAGGGCTTTCTCCAGTTGCGGCAAGTGGGGGCCACTCTTCATCGCGGTGCACGGGCCTCTCGCTATCGCGGCCTCTCTTGTTGCGGAGCACAGGCTCCAGACGTGCAGGCTCAGTAGTTGTGGCTCACGGGCCCAGTTGCTCCGCGGCACGTGGGATCTTCCCAGACCAGGGCTCGAACGCGTGTCTCCTGCATTGGCAGGCAGATTCTCAACCACTGCGCCACCAGGGAAGCCCCATAAATTTGTTTTCTAAGTCTGTGAGTCTCTTTCTGTTTTGTAAATAAGTTCATTTGCTTTTTTTTTTTTTTTTTTTTTGTTTTTTAGGGGTTTAAATTTAATGAGATCGTCAGGGTAGGCCTCATTGGGAAAATGACTGTCTTAGCTCAGGCAACCATTACAATATATCATAGCTTGGGTGGCTTGAACAACAGAAACTTATTTTCTCACAGTTCTGGAGGCTAGAAGTCCGGGATGGTCCCTGGTGCCAGCATGGTCAGTTTCTGGTGAGAGCTCCCTTCCTGCCTTGCAGACGGCTGCCTTCTCACCGTGTCCTCACATGACAGAGAAAGAGCAAGCTTTCTGATGTCTTTTCTTATAAGAGCACTGATTCCATCATGACAGCCTCACCCTCATGACCTTATCTAACCTCATTACCTTCTAAGGCCCAATCTCCAAATACCACCACATCAGTCATTAAGGCTTTTCAACATATGAATTGCAGGGGCAGGGGACACAATTCAGTCCATAGCAATGACAATTAAGCAAATTCTTGAAGAAGTGGAGGGGTGAACCATCTGAATATTAGGAAGAGTGTTCCAGGCAGAGGAAGCAGTAAAGGCAAAGGCCCTGAGCTGGAGCTGTGCCTGCGTGTGTCTGCATTGCTGGAACAAGTGAGCAAGGGGGAGACAGTTAAGAGATCAGGAGGGAGGGGCAGATCGGATAGGGCTTTGTAAGCCATTGCAAGGCCCTGAGTTTTGGGGGTGGGGGGGTTTGCTTGTTTGTTTGTTTTTGTTTAAGACGTGGATTTATTTAGAGAGATACACATTCCATAGACAGAATGCCATCCATCTCAAAAGGTGAAAATGACCTTGGGAGAAACACACTCCACAGACAGAGTGTGGGCCATCTCAGAAGGTGAGAGGCCAGGACTTGAGTTTTTATTCTGAGAGAAACTGGGAGCCACTGGATGTTTCGAAGAGTCTACTAGAGAAGAGGTTTCCTGAGTAGGTGCGAAGGAATAGGATCTCAAGAACAGGTAAAGGCCGCCTGTAGGTAGGAGCGCAGGTAGTCCAGGAACAAGAGGAAGGCAGGGTACAGGCATACCCATTCCCCTTGCTGTGCACTGTCACCTCCGCCATCTGGCAAATTATACAGTCATGTGTTTATTGTTTATCGTCTATTCCCCTCACTGGGATGTGAGTTCCACAGAGTCAGTGACATTGGTATTGAACTGCTGTTTCCCAAATGTCTAGAACAGTGCTTGGCACATAAAGCACCAAATACTTGAAAAATGCTTTGCCTGGATGACTGGCCAAGTGAGAAAGAGAGAAAATAAGGTTCAGAGTTCTAGTGACTTTCGTTCTCCGCATCTTGAAAACTACATACCAGAACAAAGAGCCGTAACCATCCCCAGTCCACTGTGGTACGAGCTGATGCTCTTCTTGTTTTCAGATTCAGGCATGGTGGCGTGGAATAATGGTACGCAAAGGATTTGGGAAATTTGAAGACCTGCTAAAATTGCAAAAGAAGGGGAGGAATTCTCCAAAAGATAAGAAAGGAAAGAAGGATGTAAAAGGAAAATCTGTCAAGAAAAATAAGAAATAATTCTATAAATGTATGAATTGAGGTAATGAACCCTGATGGATTAAGAAAGCAAAATCTCTAGGAATTAGATGCCTACCACACAAAAGTTATTCACAGAGTTATGGTTATATATAAAAATAAAGGTTCTTTTACTGACATGTTGATGGATAAAAATGCTATGATGTCTTCCAATCCCTAACCTGTAATTTTGTTATTTCAAGAAGATCATGTAAGTGCAATCACATAGTATGTAACATTTGGGGACTGGCCTTTTTATACTGTATAATTCACTTCCAGTCCATCCAAGTAGTGCAAGTGTCAATAGTTCATTCCCTTCTGGTTGCTGAGTAGTATTGCATGGTTTGTTTCACCATTCACCCTTTGAAGGGTGTTGCTCTGTTTCCAGTTTTTGGCTAGTATGAATAAAGCTGCTATGAACATTTGTTCATAGGGTTTTGCATGAGCACAGGTGTTCGTGGAATTCATGGGAATGCTGAAAGAAGTGAAGAATCATTACTTAAAGCATCCCCATTTATCCCACTCAAGACCTCCTCACCCTGATGACTTCCTTTTTTTTTTTTTTTTTTGGCCACACAGTATGGCTTGTGGGATCTTAGTTTCCTGACCAGGGATTGGACCCAGGCCAACAGCCGTGAAAGCAGCGAGTCCTAACCACCGGACTGCCAGGGAATTCCCATGATGACTTTTTCTTTTAGAGTGGTATTGATTTCAAATTCTACATGTCTTTCAAGCAATGATTGCAGTATGAATTATTAGTGTAGCAAGAAGAAAGCAAAACATAACTTGACTGGAGCATATCAGAATAGAAATGTGTGAACAGACCCCTCTGCCATGCAATGAATTTCATGCTCTAGTAAGAGAAAAATAAAAAATACCAAAAATCACTTAGAGCAGCACAGAAACTTTAATGAGTTAAGTAGGTTTTATGTGACAAATTCCATGCCAAAGAAATGCTCAGAGGTAATATGTTAATTTGTTTATTTTAGCAATAAAATATTTTACTTTATTTTCACAAGGTATTTTTTGATACTGGGTTTTGAATTTTCGACCACTTTTAATGAAGATTTGTATGTCAGTGGCCATTATTAGTGTTCATGGTTTATATCTGAGATAAAAGCCAAGATCTTGAACAAAAAATAATATACCACTGAAAGGAATACTTTCTGATAAAAATGTGAGTGGACCCCATTAAGATACATATAATGGTAAAGAATATGAAAATGTTCCACAGTTTGTGCCTTTCACATTAGAATTTCACACACACACGCACATACACATAAACACACACCCTTATATTTAAAATATTTAGGAAAAGAGAGGCAGAAAATTCCAGGGCAAGACAAAAGGAGATGCACTACCAGAATCTAAGCATTTTTGTCAGGGCTTCTAAACAGCAAGTGAACTAACTATATATCAAAACAAATGAAAATCCATTGAAAAGTGTCATTCTTGTTTTATAAAATAGAGAATAAAGACATGCTCACATTAGATTATTATAGACAATATATATTTACAAAGCTCTTGTACTGTAAATCCCACCAAACAGCCCAGAAGCTGGTACTCCTTGATTTCACCGGGATTCACTCTTGTTCTTTTCCTCCCCCTTAGGATGGTGTGTAGCTTAGTTGAGCCTTGAGAAGTCAGCTTCCTGAAACCCACCATGGTCAAAGTGAATGCTGCTTTTGTGATCTTGGTCAAAGCCTTCTAGTTCTTCCTCTTGTGAGGCTGGGAGGACCCACCTCTTCATTCTTATCTCGGTGATCTCAGGAAGTTTGGTCACGGCACATAACAAGTGTCTAAACCATTGTCCACGCTCCTGAAAAGGTGATGGCTGAAGGCTAATATCCAGCTCGGTTAACTCTTTGAGGAACCACAGGTTTTGGCAGAATATGGTCCATTCTGCATCACAGATGCTGTCATTATAGCTCAGGTCCAGCTTCCGCAGCCTGGCCAGGTGACCTGTCTGGATTACCGATGCTGAAAAACAAAATCACTCTAACTGCTAAAAGCCAAGGATACTTTCTAGTGTGACCATTTCCCACTTCCAATAACACAACACAGTAGCTCCAGGATTCGTAATGACAAGACTGATACTTAGTAATGAAATGTTATTAGCTAGCAGTTTTATTCAGGGCATCTGAAATTACTCTAGTAACAAATTTCCTCTCTGCATTTCATGTACAGCTTGAAAATGGATTTTTCTTTCTCTTTCCAAATCCCATTCCAAAGAGTGTCTTTTTTGTTGAGTTCCTGCTCTCTGCTCCACTGGAGTCCCAACTCTTACTGCAGACTTTCTCTAATTGAAGGGGAAGAGTGATGGCTCACTGGCTTTAACTCAGGACCATTTCTGAATAGTTTTCTTGCTGTTTAATGCCGTTTAACTATTCATTGCTTATTCATTCTTCATTGAACAGTTATTTAATTGAGCACTTTCCATGGGCAAAATCTGCTTGGATAATTTCTAATTCATGGGTCAATTACAGACTTTAATACATGGATCAAGTTTTCCTTTGAATAGCACATATCACAGTACTACCCATAATGGCTCTCAATAAATAACAGTTAATGATGAAGCTAAGAAAAGGAGCTAGGAGAGACAGCCAAAGCAGACAGGACATGCTTCCCTTTTCAACCAAAAACAGGAATGGATTACAGAGATGAGGTGTGTAGAATCTCAGAGTTGGAAGGGACCTTGGAGGGCTCCTCATTCAACCTGATCGATGATCAGAGAGAAATCCCTCTCACAGCTTCTCTACTGGGGACCAGCCCAACTCTGCCTGAAGCCCCTCTTCAGGTTGCCCCAACAGAGGGAAGCAACTCTCAGCGGGAGGAAGCCATGCCTCTAGGCCCTATCTGACTTTCCCCACTGCCCACCTCAGCCTGCTGGGAACCTCAGCTCCTTCCTCGTGCCAACCATGCAGTGTTGGACAACAGTCGGGTCCCCTCAAATGTCCCCCCATAGGCCTAAACACGCCCTGGTCCTTCAATCATTCCTCACACATCATGGCTTCCACACCAAGTGGGATGCTCCATCCCCATCATTTTCATCATCCCAGTCAGGACACTCAACAGCTGTATTTGGTCCCTAGGTGTTCATGTTGATCGTGTCCCTTCCTATCTTTCTGTCTCGGAACATTACTCACCATGTCCTCAAGACCCAGATAAGTGTTAAAGATAATGTGCATGCTTTTTCCCTTTAGAAAATTTTCTATTACAGACATTTTCAAACATATAAAAAGTAGACGGAATAGGAGTGAGAGCTCCCATGTTCCCATCAATCAGCTTCAACGCTATTTTCATTACACTGATCTTGGCTCATCCAGTCCCCTTCCCCTACTTTTTGTTTGTTTGTTTTTTAGTATTTTAAAGCAAATCTCAGACATTGTTTTGCCTTTCCTATACTATCTGAATTTTCCAATGATGTGAGTACTCTATTTATTATATTTTAGTATTTTATATGCGTTATATTTTTAAAAATCTGGGTAATAGTGTCATAGGTCATGAAAATACTATTTTTGTAGCTTACTATATGAAAAAAACCAATGCTGTTATTTACAAAAGAATAAAACACAAACTACTAGGGATTAACAAATTCTTAAAGTTTCTATTAGAAATAATCAAAACAGTTAAGTGGCAATGCTTAAAGCCACACACAGCAATACTTATCATTGACTAAAAATTGAAAGAAAAAAAATACCCTTGACAAAATGTAAAAGTATAAATTTGACCTGAGGAAGAAAACCTGGTAGTAAAAATTAAGAAACAATATATAATGGCTGGAACTATGATTAATAAAATATGATGCAGACCAAAAAAATTGAAGAAGCAAATTTTAATAACTTTAAATGAAATAATTTAAATATGTTTAATGGTGTCCAGGTCAGGAAAACAAAACAAACCAAAGGCTTATTCTTTGAGAAGATTGGTAATACTGATAAACCTCTTGTGGTAATCAGAATTCTAAGGTGACCTCAAGATTTCCACCCTAATTCCTAGGACTGTGTATATGATGCGTTCCCATGATTGGGTTATATTATATAGCAGACCTGAGTTTAAGAAACGCAGACCCAAGCGAGGTTAGCCTACTCACAGGAGCCCTTTAAAAGCAGAGAATTTTCTCCAGCAGGTGGTTGAAGAGGAAGGAGGTCACAGAAGAAGTAGTCAAAATGATTAGGAGACATTAACAGGATTATAAGAAAACAACTTTATTTCCATAAATTCAACCTAAGTAAAATGGGCCAATTCCTTGGAAGACACAAAGTACCAAAACTCAAGAAGAAAAAGATAACCTGAATGGTGCTATATCTATTTTTTAAACTGAATTTGTAATTTAAAACTCCTCACAAAGAAAACTCCAAGTTTAGACAGGTTCAGTGGTCAATTCTATAAAGTTTCAAGTTAATGAAAAAATAATACCAAGTCTACAAAATCTTTCCAGGAAATAGAAGAGGCAGGAACACTTGCCAACTCATTTTCTGAGGTCATTATTACCCTGATACCAAAGCCAGACAAAGATATTACAAAAAAACTAGTAGGCAATTACCTCTCGTGAACATAGCCACAAACATCCTCAACAAAACATCTTCAATTCATTATAAGAAATCTAGCCAGGTTAGGATTCCTTTACCTGATAAAGGGCACATCTACAAAACACAAACAAAAACCTATAGCTAACATTATACTTAATGGGAAACACTGAGTGCTTTCCCCCCAGTATCGAGAACAAGGCAGGGATGTCTGCTCTCACCTCATTCAACACCTACTGGAAATCCTAACCAGTTAAATAACCAAGAAAAAGAAATAAAAGGTATAGAGACTGGACAGGATGAAATAAAGCTGACTCTAATTATACATGACATGATTGCCTACGTAGAAAATCCTACAGCATCTACCAAAAATCTCATAGAACTAATAGATGAGTTTAACAAGGTCTCAGTATAAAATGTCAATATATGAAAATCAATTGTATTTCTACATACTAGCAATGACCAATTGGGAATCAAAATTTAGAAACCAGTACCATTTATAATAGCACCAAAAAATTAAATACTTATATATAAATTTAACAAAGTATATGCAGGATGTGCATGGTAGAAACTACAAAACACCAATGCGATAAATCAAAGAGGACCTAAATAAAAAGAGAGATATACTGTGTTCGTGGATAGGAGTGCTCAATATAGTTAAATGCCATTTCTCCCTGAATTTACCTATAGATTCAATGCAATCCCAATCAAAATTCCAGAGGGATTTTTTGTAGATATTGACTAGCTGATGCTAAAATTTATATAGAAATGTCAAGAAACTAGAATAACCAAAATGATTTTGAAAAAGAAGAACAAAGTCAGAATGCCCATGCTACCTGATTTCAAGGCTTACTATAAAGCTTTAGTAATCAAGACAGTATGGTATCAGTAAAAGAATAGATGCATAGACCAATGGAACAGAACAGACCAAAAATAGACCCTCACAAACTGGCCAGTTGATTTCTGACAAAAATGCAAAGGCAATTCAATTGAGTCTTTTCAATTAATGGTGCTTGAATAATTGAGCTGTCGTATGCAAAAATATTTTCAGCCCATATCTCATGCCTTGCACAAGAATACTCAAAATGGATAATAAGTCAAAATGTAAAATATAAATGTAAACCTTTTAGAAGAAGATCTAGGAAAAATCCCTGAGAACTTGGGTTTTGCAAAAATTTCTAAGATGCAGCACAGAAAGCTCTATCCATCAAATTAGCAAATGGATAAATAGATCTTTATCAAAACTGAAAGTCTTGGGACTTCCCTGGTGGTCCAGTGGTTAAGACTCCGCACTCCCAATGCAGCGGGCCAGGTTTGATCCCTGGTCAGGGAACTAGATCCCGCACGCCACACTAAAAGCTCCCTCACGCTGCAACAAAGGTCCCGCATGCTGCAACTAAAACCCGGCACAGCCAAATAAATAAATATTTAAAAAAAAAAACAAAAAAACACTGAAAGTCGTGCTGTGCAAAAGATACTGTTAAGGGGTTGAGAAGACAAGTTACAGACTGAGAGAAAATATTTGCAAGCTATAGATCTGATAAAAGACTTGTATCCAGAAAATCTAAAGAACTCTCATTAAGAAGAAAACAAACTATCCAGTGTTTTAAATTAGGCAAAAGATTAGAACAGACACTTCACCAAGGCATATATGCAGTTTACAGATAAACACAGATAAACACATAAACACATAAAAATATGCTCACCGTCATTAGGGAAATGCAAAATAAAATCACAATGATTTGTCCACATCTTCTAATTACAGTGTTTGGCCATAACACTTGCTTTGAAAACACATATTTGTTCCAACTAGATTGAAATATCAGAGAACAGTGTGAACATAACACAAATTTCTTGTTTGCTTATGCATAATTTATCCACAGGAAACAGTAGGTGAACACAGAAAACTGCACCCAGCTGAGCCAAGGTGGGTACAGGCGTAAACAAAATCCACACATGCACACACCTCTCAAGGACAAGGAGCCTCACCCATCCACATCCAGTGTTCCAACTTTCTATTCTACATCAGGTAATCCTCCTTCTTCCACCACCATATCTATGTCTATCTTCTTTTTTTTTTAAATGTTTGGCCGCACCTTATGGCTTGTGGGATTTTAGTTCCCCAACCAGGGTTCGAACCCTCGCCCCCGGGAGTGAAAGCGTGGAGTCCTAACCACTGAACCGCCAGGGAAATTCCTCCATCTCCTTTTATGAAACACTCTCCACTGTCTTTTTGGTTTCAGAATTGCCCTTATCTGTTTTAACAAGCTCTCTCCTAAGCAGGTGTCAGGGAGCAGGGAAGATGCACAGAGGGCTTAGCACCAGGCCTCGCTGCCTTCTCCACCTCCCTTATCGTGGACTGCCAGAGCAGGCACGCTGGGCTCTGAGTGCCAGGACTGCTTTGGATGGAACCAGTAGGTAAAACCCAGAAGAGCCACGTCCTCTGTCACCAGGGAACAGCTGCTCAGCCTCAGCACCTGAAGGGACGTTGAAAGCTTTAGTGTTTCCAGGAGCAGCTTTAGGTTGCTGCCAACACACTTATTCCAAGAAAGGTTGACTATTTCCAGAGCAGGGAGGTGAACGGAGGCTTCAGCTGAAATTGACAGTGATAAGAATAGCAATAATTTAGGTTTTCTTAGAGGCCGTAAGCCTTGAATTTGAGGAACCTAGGCTAGGGCAACATATTTCTATCAGTGAGGTTAAGACAGTTGTAGAGACCGTTTCTCCTGCCTGAAATTCATGGCCTCAATTTATGTTGTCTATTTTTATTGGGGAGAAATGTTGGAAACTTTAGAAAAGTAAAACTTGATTAAATGGGGACTTCCCTGGTGGTGCAGTGGTTAAGAATCTGTCTGCCAATGCAGGGGACGTGGGTTCAAGCCCTGGTCAAGGAAGATCCCACATGCCGCAGAGCAACTAAGCCCGTGCGCCACAACTACTGAGCCTGTGCTCCAGAGCCCGCGAACCACAACTACTGAGCCCCCGTGCCACAACTACTGAAGCCTGTACGACTAGAGCCCATGCTCCGCAACAAGAGAAACCACCGCAATGAGAAGCCCGCGTACCGCAACTAAGAGTAGCCCCAGCTCACTGCAACTAGAGAAAGCCCACATGCAGCAATGAAGACCCAACGCAGCCAATAAATAAATAAAAATTTAAAAAACTTGATTAAATGGAATTCACTATTGACTGGGATTTCTTTCCTTCACTTCACATTTAAGAGGGAGAAAGAGATGAACAGTTTTCACAGTTAGTCACGATTTCCAGAGTGTGTCCTGGTTTTACATGTCCTGGTTGCTGTTGAAATTCAGAGACAAGGCCAAACCTCCCTAGAACTCTGAAACACCAAAATGTATTTGTGTTTACTTAACTGCAGTTAACAGAGACAAAGAAGGGAAATAGTGTATATTGGAAAGATTTTTAAAGGAAATTCAAAGATTTTCTGCTTAGTTCTCGGTTTCCGCTAACATTAAAATTAACCAGAGGGCTTCCCTGGTGGCGCAGTGGTTGAGAGTCCGCCTGCCAATGCAGGGGACACGGGATCGTGTCCCGGTCCGGGAAGATCCCGCGTGCCGCGGAGCAGCTGGGCCCGTGAGCTGTGGCCGTTGAGCCTGCGCGTCCGGAGCCTGTGCTCTGCAATGGGAGAGGCCACAACAGTGAGAGGCCCGAAAAAAAAAAAAAAAAAAAAAAAAAAATTAACCAGAGCAACTTATCCACGAGGTATAGCCACTAATTACATTTTAAACTATTCTTCCTTCTTTCTAAAAAATAATATCCGTTTGAAGGGTAGATATATATCCTTTTTATAATATCTAACAAGAGCACCCTCCCACTCCTATGGTACAGAGACCTATCAATAAGAAATTGAACTTTATTTTCTCAAAGTGATGCAGAGAAATATGTATTTACTTGATTTACTTCTTTTTTTTTATTGTTGATTTACTTTTTAATTCAAATTGAATTAAACAGGTCTCCCTCGACTTATAGTGGAGTTACGTCCCGATAAGTTGAAATATCTTAAGTAAAAAATGAATTTAATACACCTAACCTCCTGATCATCATAACTTTGCCTAGCCTACTTAAACATGCTCAGAACATTTATATTAGCCCATGGTTGGGCAAAGTCGTCTAACACAAAGCCTATTTTGTACTAAAATGTTGAATATCTCATGTAATTTATTGAATACCATACTGAAAGTGAAAAACAGAGTGCTTGTCTGGGTACAGAGTGATTGTTAAGTTTACCCTCGTGATGGCATGAGTATTGCATCACGCATATATTGCTAGGCTGGGAGAAGATCAAAATTCAAAATTCTAAGTATGGTTTCTACTGGCGTGTTGCTTTTACACCACCTTAAAGTCGAAAAGTGTGAAGTCAAACTGCTGTAAGTCAGGGACTGTCTAAAGATTTATGTCAGATGATGTAATTTTGTGTAATATCTACTTGATTATGATCCATTGATTGTGTAGCTATAATTGAAAAGAGTTGTGCCTTCTGATGGCAGAAGACACAAAGTTAAAAACAAAATTTTATTTAAAAATATTCAACATTTTCCATCTAGGAAGTATATTTATGAAATCTCATGTTGTCCCCAAATTTATTTTTTGTGGAATTTTCCTAACAACATTAGTCTGAGCAGTGGAATGTGGGGCGTGTGTGTGTGTGTGTGTGTGTGTGTGTGTGTGTGTGTGTGTGTGTTTACCTAGGCATTTTGGGGATTATAGCCCCCTTTGAGAAATTTGTCTGTCTGTCTGTCTGTCTATCTATCTACTAACCTGCCTATCTACTTACTGGCTTACTTAACTAATACCGAAAACGTGCTTTGAAGGATGCAGTGAAGAATAAACACAATCCCTGCCCTCAAGAGGGTAACAATCTGGGAGAAGTATCAACATTAAAAAACCACACAAGTAAATACATAATTATAAATACTGATAAAGGCTATAAGGAAGATACAGGGACTTCTAATTCAGAGAGAGGCTGTCTTAAAAGGGGACATTTACACTGAGACCTGCAATCAGAGCTCCCCAGGAAAGACTGGGGGGTAGGGAATTCTAGAGGACAGGAAGGTCAAATGCAGGAGAGAGCTCGGTGATATGAAGGAACAGAAAGAAGCCAACTGAGGCTGGGTTCAGGGAGCAAGGGGGAGAGCCGCCAGGGGGCCTGTTAGATCACAGGAAGGAATCTGGGTTTTACCAGAGGTTCTCCAGGCAACCGCTGGCTTTTACAATAAAATTTACTTTTTTTTTTTTTTCCACACCGTGTGGTATGTGGGATCTCAGTTCCCTGACCAGGGATGGAACCTGCACCCCTGCAGTGGAAGTGTGGAGTCTTAACCACTGGACTGCCAGGGAAGTCCCAAAATTTACTTTTTAAGTAAAATTTATAGACTGTCTCCCCATAATAATATTCACAACTGGCATTTATTGAGCATTTACTATGAGCCAGGCACATTTCCAAGAACTTCACATGTAATAACCCGTTTAATTCTTACAACCCTATGAGATATGATCCTATTATTCCATTTACAGACAAGGAAACTGAAGCACAGAGTTGGTAAGTACCACAGGTCACGAGAGCCAGAGCCAGGATTTGCTTTCAGATGTCTGATCCCAGGTGCTTTGGAGCCAGAAAAATGTACCATACATTCCCCACCAACAAAAGAATTGGAATCAGTTTTAGGGAGTTCACAGCCCCCTGCCCAGGCATAACTATAGACTGACTCTCTTAAGGGAGGAGCCGTGGACCTCAGGTTAAGAGACGTACATATCCTGCTACTTTTCCCCATCCAGACACGTGGCCAATGAGATGAGCAGTGCTGGGGGAGGGCTGGGAGCAGTGCATGGCAAGGACCAAGACCCTGTGGGTCAAACAGAATACTTGGGATGAAAAGGAGAGCAAGAATACCTTAAATAGAGAGTTCTTAGAATTTGGGATAAATTATATGTACTTATTTTTATTAACAGATATTAATAAATAACTACTTGTTATTTTTTATTAATAGAATGCCTTTATTTCATTAATAATAGCCCTGTTGGGTCCAGAGGACAATTCACTTTTAAGGGAGTGTCAACAGACATAACCCTTGAGGGAAGGCCAGAGAGAAGGGCTCTGTTTTCACTGTTACTCAGGAAGCACCAGAATCCAACCACACTAGTCTTGCGCATGTGTACAAAACAGAGTTAACCTAGCAGGCCTGAGACCACTATCCCTACAAAGTCCTGCTGGCAAGGTTGGCCCTTGGCTGACATCTGGGAACTTGGAATTTGGAAGTGTCGTCACCATTCCCTAACTTATAAGGGTGGTTCGTTGTGCCTACAGTGTCTGTGTACAAATAAGATGATTTATGCTGAACACTAGCTTTCCTTCCGTGAGTCTGGAATTTTGGTATGTGCTTCGTAGAGGGTGCCTGCATGACCAAGCCCCACTAAAAAACCTGGACTGGAAGGTTCAGGCGAGCCTTCCCAGGAAACATTTCAGACCATGACATTACAACGTGCTGCAGGAGCGGAGTGCATCCTTGTTACTCTGCTGGGAAAGGAATCTTGCAAGCTTGGGCCTGGTTTCCTCTGGACTCTGCCCCATGCATGTTTCCCTTTGCTGATTTTGCTTTGTATCCCTTTGTAAAGTTGTAACGTACACCCGTTATGCACCGTCCCACTGACTTTCTGTACCTTCATTTGTATCTAAGTGCCTCGGCTTCACTTGATTAGCGAGAAAGACTCAACACCCTTCGTTTTGGCTTTCCTTCTACATCCCTATTTGTAATACACTTTGTAACAGTAACAGATCCGTTTCAAAACAGCCACATAAATTCAAAAATTTTCTCCCTCAAGTGCCACATCTATCCTTTACAGATGTGTATAGGAGGAGTTTAGATTCACTAACAATTACTGGGCACTTAATATTTGCCAAATACTATATTGGGGCATTCACAAAACTTTTATGATGTGGTTCTTCCGGTAACTTCATAAACAGCACATCTCAAATTTGCCAGGTTTGCAAACACATGGCAAGGCTCCAAGAGTCCTCCCTCGACTCTGCAGTACCTACTCAGCCACACCGTGTCGTCGGCCATCAGCGAGCACTGGCGAAGATCCAGCCCCTCCAGATGCTCGAGCATGGCCAGCCCCGGGGAGTCTTCAAACCCTCCACTCATCTCCTTGTTGCAGGAAATGTCTAGTGCCCTCAGCTCACACAAGTATCTAAAAGCAGCATCTACAAAGAAGGTCAGAACCCCATTCTGACATATTACAAGGCGGTCAGCAGGAGAGGGGGCAGGTGTAGAGAAGGGAGACTGAGACAATACGTACACTATGTTGACAAAAGCCCAGACAGTGGGATAACTGTCCACTTTGTACCATCTACCCCTTCGGACCTGACAATGGCTTCAAATACACACTCCCTGTGATCTGCATTGATCGTCAATGGTTTTGATCAAAATCTTTCAACTAATGAATCTTCCCCTGCTATCCTTGAGCATTGGTGCTGTCATAGCATTCTAGACTTATTCAAACTGCCAGGGAGAAGGATTTTACAGGCTCTAGAAGTTGAAGGGATAAATACACATTTCATTTCCTATTCTTTAATGTGGATACTCTATAGCAGAGTAAATTTTAACTACAGATGTCACTGAAGCTGTTCTTTTCATCAGTACCAATTCCTTCCTACTACTAAGCATAAAATAATGCTGGCATTTTCAAAAGTAAGAGAAAAATGGACAGCTTTAGTAGCACGCTTATTTTGCACAGTGTCTCTCTCAGACCTAAAATATCCTGGCCTTTTCAGAGTCAGCCGTTTTAAAAGATTATTTTTGTAATCATGAAAGTACATGCTCACTGTAAAAGACTTAGAAAATCAATAAAACATGAAGAAGATTTAAATCACCCGTAATCTTATTCCCCAACATAACTACTGTTTATGTTTTGTTGTATTTCCTAACAGCTTAAAAATTCCATATAATATAAAGTTATAGAGAAACTTTAGCCATTCCTAACTCACCCAGTAGTTTGACACTCTTTTGTGATAATCCACATGAATGTAACTTCAAGACTTTCAGATTTAAGGTACTTTTTAATCCCTGAGCAATACTGTTGAGACTGCCACCGATGTTTCTGTTAATAGAAAGATCAAGTACTTCAACGTTTTGCAGCCTAAGTAGCAACTGACCTGGAAGGAAGGAAATCCAAAAGACAACTCAGTAAAGATGCAGGGTGTGAAAGATGGGGCAGGCAGGAGGGAGGTACATCTTCATGTGACCTGGAATATAGTGAACCACTCTTTCAATTCAGGGTGAGAGAAAACATAGCCAACGTTGATTTCCAAGCTATCCAATCATGGGTGCCTTCACGTGTTTTCCTGGGAAGGACTCTTCCAAATTCCACTTACCCACAAACGCTCCATCTTCTGACGTGAGGGCGTAGTCCACAAGCTCAGGCATTTGTATCTTGCTCCCTTCTCGGAATGTCCGGAGGATCAGAGGCAAGTTTCCTCCCACTTTACTGTTCCAGGACAAATTCAACTCAAGTTCAGGCAGCGCTTTAAGTGCTTCTCCTGTTACAAAATGGCCCAAAGATCAGGTTGATCGCTAATCCGCAAAGCAGGGAATTCGTTTCAAAATCAATACAGCCATTGTTTACGGAGTATTGAAGCCGGGCCAGCTACTGGTTAGATGCCAGGGAACAGGGAGGAGAAAAGGACCCAGTTCTTGCCCACTCCCAGCATGGTGAGCTTCTACAGGTACAGGCACAGCAAGCCTAGTCCCTCCAGAGTTCTGAAGCCATGCTCGTAAGCAAACATTGTGTAAAAAAAAAAAAAATCCACCTGTTAGTAGGGGTGGTTTTACCGAATTGTTTTTATGGTAGTAAATATTTCTACCAATCCATCTACTTTCTCTCATCCACCTTCTCTGGGGATCAGCATTGCTGAGAAGCTCGGCCAGAGGTAGAAGTGCGAAAGACTTAGAAAATAAAACATGAAGAAGATTTAAATCACCCATAATATTATTCCCCAGCATAACCACTGTTTATATTTTGGCCAGAGGAAGATTGGTAGAAGCAAAGCAGGGCACTGGCCACCACAGAGGAAAAGCTCACTTTGACATCAAGAATATCACATACAACTGATCCAACCACTGCAGAGAGGAACCAGTAAGAGAGCATCAGGCACTAGCAGCTCATAACAGTGATGCAAACTTGGGGTGGAGGAGGATGCAGTGAGGGGGGTGAAACTTGACATTTCTGATACCATTTCACACAGGAAACATCTGAGGGCTACAGAGTGGAGGCTGGGAGAGAACAGGGGAAGTGTGGGGAGATCAGCCCCTAGGAATAATTTTCACTGCTTTGGGGGCAGAACAGAATGGTGAGCCACACACATGACAAATGTGCTTTCTCAAGGTCTGGAGTTAATTTTAGCACCAGTTAAGAGTGTTGGAAGGTCCACTGTGTCCAGAAACCTCTCTTCCACCGTCCACTACTGGGCTGGAACTTCTGCCACTGGTTATTTATTCCATGGTTTGAGGTTTTTGGAGTCCAGGAGCCCCAGGTTAAAATGCAAATTCTCCAGGAGCTATAATATCATAAGCCAGGGATAAACAGGTGTCATTTTGTATGCCGTGGCCAGTCAAAGGGGCGTGGATATGTATCGCCCTGAGGCATCCCCCAGGATCAGGGTGAAAGAGTACATGACTGTCTGCAGTGCATATGGTACTGGAGGGCCTAGGCATTTGCAATCTTGCACTAAGCAATTGTAACAGGTGTAATAATGTTGAAATGCCTCCTGATTTATATTTTCTTATCAGTAAACCATTCATTCTCCTTATACTCCATTTGCCATTAAGGCTAAGCAGAGTATGGATGATAAGATAGCCCCTCCTGGTGGAGAGGATGCAGAAGTCCTTCCAGAGAGGATAAAATCTCGGGGAGAGGGGAAAGGACACAAAACATTAGTGACAAGGGTGCAGACTCTCTCCTGGACCAGATGAGTTTAGAGTGGGTCCCAGGGCAGAAATTCCACTTCCTGGTTTCTTAAGGATGGTGGATCATGAAAAAGATTAGATTAGTCATAGAAAATAATCTAAACTTCTTTGCATGCCTGAGTAACAGTATGTTAAATTTGAGACCCTGGTACACAATAACCAGCTGCTAACCAGTGGGGCTAAATCGATCATGAAAAACCACAGAAAGGTAATTTTGGATGAGGGAATAGGGAAAGAAAGAATTATTGAGTGCCTACTATGTGTCAAGCATGTAGTAGGTACTTTACAGAAATTATCTAATGCTCACAATAATTTATTTTGAGGTGGATATCACCCCTTTTCAGAGATAATAAAACTGAGGCTCAGAAAGTTAAATATTTTGTCCATGGTCACAAAGAGAATTAGAAGTGGGACTAGGATTTGAAAGGATCTGGCCAGCTCTGAGATGTATAATGTTTTTCCTTAGGTATAGGAAGGGTGAACCAGGAAACATCAGCTGGCCCCTATTTTCTAGGGAAGGATTAGAGAGAAGACATTGGCATAAATTTTGTTGCTTTTACAGAAATCTCTGCAGAGATGTAAATGATCAAAATACATGATCGAAATAAGAAACTTCAGACAAAAAGAAGACAGAAAAATTATTAATTGCATCTAAAACCAGCAAGCATTCTAGATAACCCGGCATTCATAACCCAGTAAAGCAGCTGGGTTAGTAGCATGACAAATTTTGTCTTATGTTCTATGTTATCCAATGTTTGATATACTATAAACTAACTTAATTGAGGTTCTAGCCCTATTTAAATCATTGCTTTTAATTGAAAAATCTTGTTTTGATCATTTTTTTAAAATGGGAATGGGAAAATAGAAGAGAGAAATACTATTTTGGAATTGGAAAGGAACTTAATTATTATCTATCCCAACTCCTCTAATTTACAGATGAGGTAACAGACCCAAAGTGAGCAAATTTTACAGTTACTATCTCCACTTAAACTCCATGAGAACAGAGGCTTGGTCAGCCTGTTCCCTTCTCTATCCCAGGGCTTAGCACAATGCTAGGTGCAGGTTACACAGCTCCTTAGAAGGTATACAAGTGCTCAACACAGCATCACGTCATGTACAGGCAGCGCTCTCATCCTCGTCCATGGGCACTTGAGGGGGTGGTGACCCCGATAATTCGCCCCTGAGGGTTTGGGCTGCAAAGATCCTTCCAGGGGAGCCATCTCTTAAGGGAAGCATCCATCATACCCAGTGCTCGAACATCATCAGCAGTAAGTCTGCATCTACCCAGCCTCAGGACTTTTAACTTGCTGACAAGATGCATTTGCTGCATGAGTAAATGGAGGGTTCTGCCTATGAAATCATTCCAGGAAATATCCAGTTCTTCCAAGTCTGGAAGAGAAGGCAGCAAAGCAAGTAGAAGTGAACACAAGAAAAAAACAGATTTGCATGTGTAATTTGTGATTTGTAGTAAATAGGATCCACTGCCTGTTCCTCTGGTAAGCGGATAGAAGGAGGGTGGACTTGCTGACTTTCCACAAAGCACGGATCTCTCAGCCACACAACTGGAGACATTGTGACATTTACTTTACCTATTTCTTGGGATGTTTTCTATTTCTGCCAAATAACTGCACTCTGAAAATGCAGTGGTGTTTCCATAAGATTTCATAAGAACTCCTTTATTGTAGTGGAAATTGTAACTCTACTGCTAGGACTGTTACTACCACTGTCACTGTAATGTGTATACGGGTCCTTTTGTTTCGCAAAACCCCCTGACACCCGTCACCCTGTTGTCCTATTGGACCCTCAGGCTGAAGGTCTGGGGAATACTCCGTTGGCAGGACCGCTGAGACTGACCGTTACCTTTTCTTTCTTATCTTGATCACCTGGGTGTCACCACCTTATAAAGTTCCTGTTATACCTACATGGGCCAACATGTGCAGGTTTAGACACACAAACCCTGACCAGAACCTTCTCTGAGTCTCCTCCATTGCTCACGAAGATTGAAGCTACTCTCTGCGAACAAGATTCTCACAGGTCATCTTTGTCTCCTGCGGCAAGAAGACTTAAGAGTGGAAATACCAAAGTCAGGGGGCGAAAGTGTCTTTGCTCGCTTGCTTTTAAACATCTGTCTTGAATGTTAAAATAGTGGCAGCAGTCAGACGCTACATGGTGAGCTTCTAGAGTTACAGGCATAGCAATTCCTGACCTTCCACAATTCTGAAGAAATTCTAAAAACATGCTTAGGGGGCAAAAAGTATGTTTTCTTTCTACTAGCATTCAAAGCACTTTAGCAACTTCATCTTGTTCACCATGATCCTAACTTTATAAAGTATGAAAGCCTATTGAACACATTAAGAAGGAAAAAAACAGGATTCCTGGGGCCCACCCTCAAAGATTTCAATTCGGTGGGTTTGGGTTGGACTCAAGTGCCTGCATTTCCACAAGTTCTGCAAGAGATTCTGACATGTACATAGGCATTTGAGAATCAACAGGCATGGTTAGAGCCCCCTCGTAAGAGATCTGTCTCAAATATAATGGCATAGATTTTTTTTTTTTATTGCGGTACGCGGGCTCAGTGACCATGGCTCACGGGCCCAGCCGCTCCACGGCATGTGGGATCTTCCCGGACCGGGGCACGAACCCATGTCCCCTGCATCGGCAGGCGGACTCTCAACCACTGCGCCACCAGGGAAGCCCTAATGGCATAGATTTTAATTAAAATACTCAAGGACCCCTCACTCAAAACACAGTTCTTTTGATACCTCTGTTGGTAGACACACCTAATTTGATTCAAGACTTGATTTAAGGTATCTGAAAAAAGAGTTTTTTAAAAAGGTGGTGACAGTGGTGTTGGGAAGATGGTTCTTTGCAACCAAACTCCTGCTAGAGGGTCACAAACAGTAGTTGCACTTTTTTGTAAAACGGTGTGAGCAATAATTGCTGGTAGTGATAGTTTTCATTCCACAGATAATAACGAGATGCCCCTTTAAATTCCCAGCAGGGCTCAGTTTTATGGATGAGTTTACATCCTATGCAGGAACAGGTGTGTTTCAGGGAGCTAGAGTTAATCAGTAGAGAAGTAAAATTGCTCAGGAAAAACAAACAAACCTCCCTCTTAAACTCGGCTCAAATCTTTGAAGCTTGAGGAAGAATCAATTAACTTGTTTTAAAAAAAAAAAATAGCATTGCATCTGCGCTTCCTTGTCTGGGCCACCCTGCAGACCTAGGACTACCAAGTGAGGACCGAGCACTTTCCCTGCTCATCCCAGCCCGAAGGCCCTCTGTGCCTCTGCGCAAGGTCAACTCCATACAGACCTGGCTCCCTCACATCTGCTGTTGTTAGTCTACAGTTGTTCAAATCTAGACACTTGTCGACAGGGTTTTTGCCCAGCTTCGGCAGGAATGGCTTTTTCCTCCATCCTGGATCTTAATTCCATTTCTGCAGTGATAGTCTTAGTTGTATTATAAAAATAAAGAAAAATTTGCTGTGAATGACAGAGTGTATTAAAGATGCATAATGATCGCCATAAGACAAGTGAGAAGACGGACAACAACACTGAACTGATCCCTTGTGAAACCTCACCTCAGAAGGGGACAAAACCTGACCTCTGTTCCTGCGGTCGGTGCTCAACACTGGCCGCTCCAGTGACCCGTTTCCTACAAAGGAGCCTGAGGAACTCAGTGGCTTTTCTTTCCTGGACTGACCTGGGCTTCTTGCATGTAGATGGAGCTTTGCTCCTGGACAAAGAGGTAAACTTGGGCTTCTCTGGTGGTGCAGTGGTTGAGAGTCCACCTGCCAATGCAGGGGACACGGGTTCGTGCCCCGGTCCAGGAAGATACCACATGCCGCGGAGCGGCTGGGCCTGTGAGCCACGGCCGCTGAGCCTGTGTGTCCGGAGCCTGTGCTCCGCAATGGGAGAGGCAAAAATAGTGAGAGGCCGGGATACAAAAAAAAAAAAAAAAAAAAAAAAAAGAGGTAAACTTGTTATTACAACGTTTAAGACAGTGCTGCTGGAAGGATGCACAAACATCTTTGGTGAATGCAATGCTGGGGGTATGCCCAGGCACTGGCCTCCTAACCAGACAGGTGAGGAAGGGGAAGCACTGCAGTCACCTCTGATGAGCCTCAGATGGCTAAAGAGAGCGAGTGAAACCCTTGCTGCTCATTTCCTAGACCCCTCATTTGACACATCCGGAGAGAGTAGTCCCTGAGAGAGCTTTTGTATTTTCTCAACTCCTGCCAGAGAATACACTCAGAAAGCCTCACGTGTCCTCGTTATTACAGACTTTTTATGTGGCACCCTTACCAAGTTCCACTGTAATAATACCACACTACATGATATCACTACAATTTTTTTTTAAATAGGATTTACTTTCTTAAAAATAATTAATTAATTAATTTTGGGCTGTGTTGGGTCTTCGTTTCTGTGCGAGGGCTTTCTCTAGTTGTGGCAAGCGGGGGCCACTCTTCATCGCGGTGCATGGGCCTCTCACCATCGCGGCCTTTCTTGTTGCGGAGCACAGGCTCCAGACGCGCAGGCTCAGTAGTTGTGGTTCACGGGCCTAGTTGCTCCGCGGCATGTGGGATCTTCCCAGACCAGAGCTCGAACCCGTGTCCCCTGCATTAGCAGGTAGATTCTCAACCACTGCGCCACCAGGGAAGCCTATCACTACAATTTTTAAAAGTTAAATAAATAAAAATAAAAAGCTATGATTTTATTGAGTGCCTACTATGTACCAGGGCTTTACCTACTGAATGTGTCAACATTTAAGACACATGTGAAACACATCATACTTTTGTGAGGAAAAATGAATAGGCATGTATTGACAGTGACTTCAAAGAGGTTTTGTAAGTGAAAATGCACAGTTTAAAACACATGCAAAGAGTTTACTGGAATCCAATAGGAAAGCATAAATTCTGAATGTGCAGTAATATTCTACTACCCCTGACAAAATGTATACAACCACATAGCAAAAAAGAAATATATTAGTACCAGTGGAAATGAAAAGATGATGGCATTACAGTAGTAGTAAATTTAGACTAAAATATTAGCAGGATAATAAAAATTCCCCCTCTCCTCCACAGTGTGTCTGGTGGCTTGCTATTTTTGTTTTGTTTTGTTTTGTTGCTTTGTTTTGTTTTGTTTTCTTGGTGGCTTGCTATTTTTAAGAAAACCACCTACAGGCTGTACATCTTTGTGGGGATAGTTGGTGTTGTCACATTCTACCAGTAGGAGGCAGCATCATCCACCTACCATTTACCTCTTCATTTTGGCCTTCAATTTTTATTATGGTACATTGGATACAAGGTATTTTGTTTTGGGTAGGGTTGCCAGATTTAGGAAAAATAAAAATAGCACGTCCAATTAAACTTAAACTTAAGGTAAACAAGGAATCATTGTTTAGTAAAAGTATGTCCCAAATATTGTGTGTATTTTTTCTGGCAACCCTAATTTTGGGTGAGGGGAGTTGTGGATGGAGGATGTGAGTACAGGGCATTTTGTGTAAACTTAATGCAGAGTCACAATTACACTGTTTCATAGATTTGGAAACTGAGACTCAGAGAGACTGTTAAGTAGTAAGCAGCAGAGGCAGAATTTGAACCCAGAGCAATCGACTCCAAAGCCCATTATGTGCAGGTGCTTTTTATAATTTTTGTTCTTAAAAAAATTTTCTCTGCACTGTATCTTATTGCTCTCTCTTTTGTTTTTTAGCTTTTTATCTCCATAGGCTCAACCTACAATCATGCTCAAGTTCCAGCCTCACCAAACCTTCTTTTTCTTTGTTTTCTCCTCAAGCCACTGTTCTGTCAATCATTTCCTTTACTGTCAAATGTTTGGAAAGAATGGTTTGTATTTGCTGACCCCACTTCTTCACCACAGTTACCCATTAACCCTCTACATTCTGGTTGCCACACTGGCCTAGCCAAATAAATTGTTTCTCAGGGGTCACCACCAATGACCTATGTATGGTCAGGCCATTCAAGATGGCTGTTCTCTTGCTCTCCGTCCATCCCCTGTTCCACCAGGCCCTGCTTCACTCACATGACTCTCCAATCCTCTTAATTACTGGGCTTCATCAGTAACTGCCTGCATGCTTGCCCCCTGCCCCAGCCCTGGTTTCCCTGGCAACTAATAAGCCCACGTGATGTCAATTCCGCCTATAAATGGTAGCCTCCTTCTCCACCAAGTAGTGGAGGTTGTTGCCATGTCCTGTCTGCTGCCGGCCATCCATGGAAGGAGTGTTGCTCCAGGACGTTTGTGTAAGATGCCCCTTAACCAATGAGCTTTGATGTCTCTGTTGTTGTCTCCAGGCCTTTTCTTTGGTCTCAAGGCTGAGCAGCTACAAGATTTGCAGGCTGGTGGGGGATGCGGTCCACCAATCAACCAGTTGACAGATTCAGAAATCTCTTCTCAGACCATAGCCTACTTGGGCGCTCTGTAATATTTATATGATTGGCAAGTCCAAGGCAGCACCACTGGAAAACCTGGTTCAACTCGTGGGTCCATCAGGTAAGCAAGTCACTTAACTTCTCTGAGCCTTGGTTTACTCATCTATAAAATGGAAATTATAATTCCTGCCCGGTTCATTTCTCAGGAGCATAGTGACTTAAAGTTACTGAGGCCTCCCAGGAAAATGGGACTCTGCAATGCCTTTTACATCAGAGGTACTTTGTAAACATTTGTTGAATGAGCAAATAACTGAACGAATGAATGAATGTTACTTTTACAGTTCCTCAATAACCAAAATAAATCAAGATGACAAATCTTTATCAAACCACCTAAGTATAAATATGAGTACCAATTTATGAGGCTCCTGGACATCTCCTTACAGGCCGTATATTTCTTTTTTTTAAATGTATAAACCCCTTCCTTCAAAAAGTATCTTATGTCATACCTCATTATATAAAACAGACGAGTCAGAGCTGCTACAGGTTGGCTGAGGAGGGAGGGCTGGCACTCCATGGAGAGTGCAAAGTGACCACACATAAGCAGCTCCATGGAGTGACTCGGGGCTTTTTCTGGCGGCTTTACTGCTGAACCGAGCTCTTGCTTCTCCAGGTGATTCTGTGAGCCAAGCAGTATCTTCTCATTAGGTTCCTTTCCAAGCTAAACCTGTAGGGGCTTGTTTCCGTTGTTTACAACCAAGAATCCCGATGCTTTCGTAAAACATTTTTACATGTTTTTAACATGGGTGATGCTGTATAGGGAACCAAGGTAACAAGTTCCTGTTGCCAAGGAGCTACCTGTCTGATGGAGCAGACAGACAAGAAAGCCACAGAGGGTCCAAAGTCCAGTGGGTGCGTCTTGGGAAGCTTCCAGGTGAACGTGGTGGATAAATTGCACCTTAAAGTGTGAGTGAAAGTCAGCCAGGTGTGTGGACATGAGGGCGGGATAAATGGGGGAGGGGTGCAGAGGGAGGATGCCACAAGGCAAGGTCTTTCTAGGCACAGGTACCCACTTCGGGGGAATGTGGCCAGTTCAGGAGAGAGTCAGTCAGAATATCAGGAGTAGAGGATGAACATAAGATTGGGGGGAAGGCAGAAGTTGTGAAGAGATATTCAACTGATCACAAACACCTTGAAGACCATGCTTGAGAGTATAGACTTTCTCTTCAAGGCAGGAAAGACTCAGTGAAGGATTTTAAACCGGCGAGAGACACCACAGTATCTGTGGTTTAGAAAGAGCACCCGGTAGCAGTGTGGAGGACAGGCTGGCCACAGACCAGGAGTGGAGAAAGCTGTGGCAGTGGTCCAGGCAAGAGACGATGAAAGCCAGGACAGCAGCGGAAAAGAGGAACGAGGTCCCAGAGCTGTTTGGAGGACAGAATTCACATGACTCCAGGGGCCACTGGACTTGGGGAGAAATGGAAATGGAGAAGCCATGCATGGTGCTGCCCAGCTGGGATAACCAGCTGACGGGTCTTGCACGGTTAATTTAATCATGGTTATGGGTATCCATGAACCATGTTCCTGAAGCTCCAAATCATACTTTAGAACAAATATCAACAACTTTCTGACTGCCCTCTTTTAAAGGTAGACTTCTTAATTTTCTACTTCCAAAAATGCATTCAATCTGCTTACAGGTAAAATGATATTTTTGGTATTTGGTGCAAATAATCTGACGGACATGAGGGCAGGTTTAAATGAAACAAGATTGGCCGTGGATTGGTAATTGTTAGAGGGAGGTGGTCTTGGGGACTCATACTGTTCTCTCTTCTTTTGTATATGTTTGCATAAAAAGTTTAAAGTGTTTTAAAAATACATTTAATCTAATAATATAGTGACGGCATTGTATATGACATAACTCTAGAGAGAGATTTGGCAATATTTTCATAACCCTTGTATTTGTAATCTCTGTTCTGGGAATTTGTGCTAATTAGCTGAAACAGCGTAAAGCAGAAAATAGGGGAGAGGGAAAGCCAAAGATATTCACTAAAGGGCAGAAAAGGAACTTAAGTAATTATGGTATAGGCATGTAATGGAATATTCTGCCCCTGTCAAAATTAGCATATGAACATCACGTAACAATATGGGAACTGAGCAGTATAATAATATGTCTCAGTAGGATCACAGCTCCGTGTCAGATCAAGCGGGCTTTATAAGCTCTTATAACCGTACAACGTACGTCTGTTTGGCCCCAGCTACCTCTCTGACTGGCCTACTACTCATCCTCTCTCCATCTCTCATCCTGCTTCAGCATGCCTAACCTCCTGGCTTGCTCTCAAGCACTCCAGGCTCACTCCCATCTTGGGCCTTTGCATTTACATATCCCTTTGCCTGGAAAACTACTCCCACAAATACCTGTGTAGCTGGCTTCATTCATTCTACGTGGCTGACTTTCAGATCTTGGCTCAAATGCCACCAAATCAGAGGCTCCTTCCTTCCAACCACATCTAAAATAGCACCCCCAGCCCATCATTCTCTGTCTTCTCAGCCTACTTTGTCTTCATATGACTTATCACACTGAAATTATATCTGTTTTTGGTTCTTTATGTACACAAATGTTCTCTTTTTCATGGCTGTCCTTCTAATAACAGGGATTGGCACAGATACTCAGTGTTTGACTGGTTGGTTGACCATAAATGCATGTATATGAATAAAAGGCTGAAAAGAATCTTGAAGAAATGACCATTTGTGTTAGAATGAAAGGAAATAGGGTATTTTTCTCTAAACCTTTCTGCAACATATTACTTTTGATAATTTAAAAGGAAAGTGAGGGGAATTCCCTGGCGGTCCAGTGGTTAGGACTCCACGCTTCCGCTGCTGGTTGGGGTCCCGCAAGCCGTGTGGCATGGCCAAAACAAAAAAGTAAAATGAGCAAATTATTTAAAGCATTTAACAAAATAAACGTTTAGAACAGACTCATCATATTAGGTTTCGGTGTCTCATCGCTGGGTCGAAAAGCAGTTGTTTTAAGGTCATTGCTCTCTTTTCTGTTTTCAGCTTTGGGGGACCTGAATTTTGACCCCCTGATGCATTTGTTGACAAATAAACTCTGGGGTTTAGTTTCTCCATCTGAGGAACTCTTGTTCCCTGTTTGACTCATGGACAAGTTGAAGGGGGTCTTTCTCAATAAGCCATCTTCCTGTGGTTTTCTGTTTTCTAGGATTTCAGAAGAAAACAAGAGTCTGTCAAGCCTGTGTGAAATCCTAACTTCCCTACACCTGTCTTTATTTCCCCCTTACTTTCTGTTTTTCTTGCTGGTAGTGTTTAACATAAAAATAAGAATGATGCAACCCAGGATCCTGGAAGTAACAGATGATAGCAGATAGAAATCCAAAGCAAATTTGAGTTTTAAACTTGGCCCTATTTTATTGTGAGATACAGTTCATTAAACACCACTTTGGCAAGTGCATTAAATGTGTCAATACTTTTAAAATTTCAACAGTCAGTTAAAGTTACCTTCCGGGAGAGAGAGCGTCAGAGCACTTGGCATGCCTCTGAACTGTCTGGGCGACAGTTTTGCAAAGGGCCAGAGGAGTCTGCTTCCAGGGACCCCAGTCGCATCTCTTGGCTTACCGTTTCTTTTTCTCTTGGCATTCTCACCTTCTCTACTGCAGCCCTTCACCCACACCCCATAAAAACACATTGGCAGTAAAGAATTAATTCACTCCATAAACAGAACTCACTGTTCTCGATGCTAAGAGATTCAATGATAAACAAGACACAGCTCATGTCACTGAAGTCTTAACCTGGTGGAAAGATGGTTACACTGGAGCAAGGGCTGTCAGGGAGGAGAGACCCACGTAGTCAGGGAACCCACAGCTGGACCAAGCCTGTCTTGGAGCACAGCCTTTGAACAATGAGTGGCATCGCCTGGGTTTTGAAGAACTGAGGTAGCTAAAAGGAGGAGAGAGAGGGAAGTGTCCCAGGAAGAAAAATCAGGCTCAGAAACTTCCAGGTATGAAGATCTAAAGGAGCCTGGGGTTGCCTCTAGGAGTGAGTCCTGGTTTGCCTGGAGCAAGAATGGAGGATGGAGGTTAGGGGTAGTTCTGGTATGATTTGAGGCTCAAGATTCATAAGGGTCAATCTATGAATCCCTCCGGGGATTTGCTTACATTTTAAGGGAGGGTTCAAGACTTAAAGGGATGAAACTATAAATGGAATTTTAGATTCTGTTAATAAAATTTAGATTCTGTCCTTAGGCTAGGGCCTAATAGGTATTCTTAAAGTTACAATGTTCATGGCTTCCTCCCTATAAAATAGGTCTTACAATGTTCCAGAATGGTTCAAGAAACATTTTGCACAAGGGGATCCTCAAAATGACTTTGCAGAGCCCACCTCCCTGCTTGGGGGATGGAATGTTCCATATACCCGGAGTACTATTTTAGAAGTCACAACTGGGCATCCATTTTTTTTTTTCTCCAACCTAGAAGCAGGATCCGGCCCACCAGGTTCACGCAGGAACAGACAGCAGTGGAACCAGACAGGTGTCCCAGCCACAGCCCCGTAGCTGACCGAGCCTCAGTAGGGTGGGTGGGAAAGAGAGACCTTCAGCTTGTGAATCCAGCCACAGCCTGCTGCCCTGACTGCCCCATCCTGATTCCACCGTCACCCCGGGGGCGCTTTTCCTTTCACTGGTCCCCTGGCTCCCACCCAAGACTTACCTCTATGGTCAGTTTCACTCATTTTCACCTTTGGGAGGTTTATACACTGCTATTCTTTGGAGAGCCATCACAGTAAATGCTTTTATTTTCCCCCCCAAGTTGCTGTGACTCCATCTCCCACGTCTTAAGAAAACACTGTTGGATGGCGCTCCAGGATGTGGTAATTCCCCCAAGTGAAACCCCACCCAGCTGGTGAGGCCCTGCTGGGTTCTATGTGCAGGTAAGTGCACCACAGATCAGGATGGGAAAGACCAGGGAGCCAGGGAAGGTCAGAAAGTACACAGGACTCGAGTGATCGGGAGAGGAAACAAAATACCGTAGGGAACAAGGAAGGCAGAAAGGAGAGGAAGGCAAGAGAAGGAAGCAACTGAGAGCTAACAGGGAATCAGAAAAGGAACAAGTGCGAGAAAGGCAGATTTGTGAGAACAAGGGGGAGAGCAGCTGCATATTTCTTAATATACAGTGGGTGAAGTAGTAGGTTACCATGCTCATGCTTAGAAAAGAATTTCTTTCAAAATGTATTTCTCTTTATATACAAACTTGTGCAAGTACTCAGGCTTCCCACACCAACTCGAGCTTTAAGAATGGCTTCCCCCTTGTCTCTGCACTGGGTTTTACTCTGTGAAGGTAAATCCTGGAAACCGAATTTGGGGAAATTTTCAGATCACAACATAACCAGACTACAGCAGCTAAAAACCAGGGTTTTGCCTCTCCTCCCAGGATCAGAGGCATTCACTTAAGAGCCCTCTGGGAAAACTAATGGCTGGCATTTAACAGAGTAGTTACTGTATCATATTTACTGTATTATCAGTAGGTGAGGTTACTTGCCATGAAACCCCTAGGGTAATACGTATTTGGCATGTAATTCCTCTTGCACTGAAGCGATTTTTGTTTTTCTAAAAGTGAGGTATACTTTTTTTTCTTTTCCATCCTTAGGTTTAGGCTTAATGTATATTTTAATTTTTTTTACATCTTTATTGGAGTATAATTGCTTTACAATGGTGTGTTAGTTTCTGCTTTATAACAAAGTGAATCAGCTATACATATACATATGTCCCCATATCTTTTCCCTCTTGCGTCTCCCTCCCTATCCCACCTCTGTAGGTGGTCACAAAGCACCAAGCTGATCTCCCTGTGCTATGCAGCTGCTTCCCACCAGCTAGCTATTTTACGTTTGGTAGTGTATATATGTCCATGCCACTCTCTCACTTCAGGTTTAACGTATATTTTAAAGCTTTTTTTTTTTTTTTTTTTGCGGTACGTGGGCCTCTCACTGTTGTGGCCTCTCCCGTTGCGGAGCACAGGCTCCAGAAGCGCAGGCTCAGCGGCCATGGCCCATGGGCCCAGCTGCTCCGCGGCACGTGGGATCTTCCCGGACCGGGGCACGAACCCGTCCCCTGCATCGGCAGGCGGACTCTCAACCACTGCGCCACCAGGGAGGCCCCCTTAAAGCATTTTTGAGGAACGCTTTCAAAGGCCTTAAAATTTTTGATCCAGTGTTTTCAGAGTGAATCATATTTTCAGTGTTGCTTCTTAAAGGGAAATGCGTTTTCTTTCTCCACAAAACTTACTTTATTAAAAAGCATAACACATGCTACAACATGAATGACACTTGAGGACATAAGAGAAGAAAGCCAGTCATAAAAAAGGCAAATACTGTATGATTCCTCTTACATGAGGTATATAAAGCAGTCAAATTCATAGAAACAGATAGTAGAACGGTGGTTGCCGGGGACTTGGGGGAGGGGGAAATGGGGAGTTGTCTAATCTGTACAGAGTTTCACTTTTGTAAGATGAAAAAGTTCTGGCGATCTGTTGCACAGCGATATGAATATATTACTACTGAACTGCACACTTAAAAATGGTTAAGATGGTAACTTTTATGTTATGTGGGGCTTTTTTACTACAATGAAACATTTTTTAAAAATATATTTAAAAAACATGATTCAGAAGGCTAGGACTCTAAATGTAAAGAAGTTTTAAGAGTGCCTTAATCAATTTCTGCTTTTATTTTTCTTCTTATGTACAAGTACGACATGATTTTTAAAAATCCATATCTGAATGTCTAAATAAGTTTTAATAAGTATAAAGTAAAAATCCTAGGTAATTTTTAAAACTTACTTCAGTCACTCAGCTCTAAAGCATTCTGGCGGCATATGCAGTGTCTTGAGTTACACGTCTGATGGGCTTACTTCAGCCCTATTCAGACCTCTTGCCTTGAAAACATATTATTGTAGATCTATTTCTAGCATTAGTTAGTATTACTATTCTCAATTAATTTAAGCAGAAAAGGGATGTATTAAAAGGAGGACAAAACTTCTGTTAAAAAGATGACAAAGGTAAACATGTGTTTACCTCCACTCCTTTTGAACCCCATTTAAACAATTAAGGAATTAAAAAAACACAATCACTTCATGAATCTGTAAGGATAAAGAGAACTGGACAGATTCCAACAAAATTTTGGAATCTAGAGAGCATGAGGAGGGTACGTTTACCTGACTTTACAGTTAATTACCTGCAAAGTTTGGGGTAACAGATTTTTCAAATTTCAGAATCCCCAGGGGTTCAGTAAGTGAACCAGTAATTATACCAGGTAACTCTGAAGGAAGAGGTAGGAATGGGCAGGGCTGGAAACAGGATGATTAGTTTAAAAGTATAAGAAGTTAAACTATTAAATTCCATTTCTCACTCCGGGGCAGACAGGAGACCGTCCTCGTCCCCACCCTGGAAAAGATAGAAAGTTTATTTTCAGAAACTGTTGAAACACAGAGGTTCTGGATTCAGAGACACTGGTCATGGTTCAAGTACCGTATTGGATAGGGGGTGAAGTAAAGTCTGTGCACGGAAGCATGAGATCGCTCCCTAAGCCCCCTTTAGTTCCTCTAAGAACACACTGGCAACCAAGCTTAATCACCCTCTTCCCCCGCCCAATAGAGGCAGGTGCGGGGACACCTACCTGGGAAACTGACCAGCCCAAGAGAAAAAACCTGCGGATACTGACTGTGTAGTGTCCCTCAACTAAATGAATCTGTTGCTGCCCAAGCAATTACAGAGAAGCCCACTGATTGACAAGTCCTACCTCTATACACAGAGCCCCTCATTCTACAAGTGCTCGGAGGACCAAAGACCTCAAGATAGTTGAGGAAAGACTCTGATACGAAAATGAGGTGTAGAAACCGTAAGAAAGAGGGAACTTGGAGAAAATAAGGACAAAGTAAGGAGAAGAAAAAAAAGTTTTAAAATCACTATTATACTTAGTTCTTGGGCCCATAAACCAAGAATCAGAAGATGTAAAAAGGGGGAAATCTAGGGAATAAAGGAACTTCTAGAAATTAAAAATGTGATCATTTCTGTGCAAGACTAAAGTGGCAATCGTGTAGTTTTGAATCTACCTATTCCTCTAACAGTAACCACCACCACAACAAACGCACAACAATTA